CCATAATGTTGTCAGCGAGACAAATCTCAAATTAAAATCTTTGAAATGTTTTCCCCAAAGGTGGTTTTTAATGAAAATTTCAAAGCTGTCTCTTCCGTTCATCAGTAATCTGATGTTGCAACCACGGGAGCGGCGTTCTACTCGCCAAACATGGTCGCTGTCAGAGAATTTTTATAAAACTATCCGAGTTCTTTCCATTTAAACTTGCTTATTCATGCCTCCCGCCACTTGCAGCCCCCATGTTTAATTCCTCTGAATTGAATTCCGTGAGGGGTATAAACAGTCTCTGGCCACCCAGCAGTGTAAACGGGTATGTTTTGGCCAAATACCAGTGACATTGTGTGTGTGTTTTAGCTCCGGGAGGAAACTCGAGGAAACCCATTCAGAACAAGAGGGGGGAGGGGGGACAGACTCCTTCTTGCTGTGAGGCACGAAAACTAGAAACTATTTATATTTTATTATACCAGGTAAAGCCCACTAGTGTTACACTGTGCCACCCTGCCGGTGAATTAAACATTTTAACAGAAACGTTGAAAAGGAAAGCCAGCCGGTTGCGTTTGTGCACAAACTTATCCCATTCTTTTTGAAGGATCAATACAATTAATGCAACTCTGATAAAATTATAAAATTGTGTAACATATTTTTTTTGTTCCTGGGTAGTAAGTGTTATTTCCTAATTGCTTATGTCTCAAAAGTACAGAAAATAGCTATTATTCCCCATAAACTTTACTTTTGTGACCAGGACATTGATATTTTGAAATGTATCTATTTTACAGAAGATTGCAGATGAATCTTGACTTAAAGCTTTCGTGACTGCAGGAATTCATATTCTTTGGGTCTTTTGGTAAAGTCACGTAGATAGGTTCAAAGAAAATCTAAAAAATAACAAAAAACTACGACGTTTCGATCGCAATGCAAGCGGTCGTCATCGGGCTGAATAAGTAAACCCGTAAAAACCAAGTTTTTCACTATAAATCCTTTATATGCGTGGCGGCTAGAGTCCTCTCGTCCTCTGGCTTGAGATGGCTGCCACCTATGGGTCAGATGATTGTCTGCCAGTATTAAGCAATTAGTAATTAAATATTTAATTTGTTTTCACGAACATTAATTGTCTCGCACAACGAGTCTGTGTGCAAAATGTCAGCTCGATTGGATCACGGGAAGTGGGTTTAAAAACGACCAAAAGATTTGCACGGTCGTAAGCAAGCAAGCAAGCACGCAAGCAAGCGAACTTAATATAAAGGATTTAAATAAGTATAACCCGTAAAACTAAGTTTTTCACTATAAATCCTTTATATGCGTGGCAGCGAACTTAATATAAAGGATTTAAAAATATATTCGCCTGTGGAGGACGCGGGGATCGATCCCGCGACCTTTGGCATGGGAAGCGAGGGCGCTACCAACTGCGCTACTCCGCCACGGCCTGTGGAGGGGTTACACTCTGGGCTCTTATACTGTGACGTTCAGCCAAAGCCAAGAATGAGTTCTTTTGAATATATGTAAAATATATTTTTTTTGCCTAAAAAGTGTAACACTTTGGGAATTTTTTTTTCACGAACATTAATTGTCTGGCACAACGAGTCTGTGTGGAAAATGTCAGCTCGATTGGATCACGGGAAGTGGGTTAAAAAACGACCGAAAGATTTGCACGGTCGTAAGCAAGCAAGCACGCAAGCAAGCAAGCAAACTTAATATAAAGGATTTAAAAAGAGGAAAGCTGCTGAGGCAGGCTGTTTTAAAGGTTTGAAATGGTTGTAGCCCAAGGGGCATAAACAAAGTGGGGGTTGGCTATTGATGTTAATGTGAGAAATTGGCATGTTAATGTAAGATCGGAGGGCGACCTCCACACCAGGAAGCTACCAAGGACGGTATCACGATAACATGATTGGAGACTACATTTGGGGGCTGATTCGTGAAAGTGATTTACAGTATAATCGTAAATCTCGAAAAACTACTCACTTCTAAATATTGTGTAGTCATTGTTGTATTACTTTAGTATAAATACACGTACATTTTCATTCATATGTGAACGAAAAGACACATATCCGCCCGTTTTCTCATTGAAAATAGGCAAATTTCTAAATATCACTGTCCTGGTCACAAAAGAAAAGTTTGTGGGGAATAATAGCCATTTTAAATACTTTTTAGGCATAAGCAATTACGAAATAACACTTACTACCCAGGAACAAACATTGTGTTACATAGTGTAATTGGAGTTGCACAGATATAACCACAGATTTATAATTATTATCTTAGACTCCTCACCACCAAGCATGGAAACGTGGAATTTGTAACCGCTGGCGCATAACTGTCTGTGGCAATACTCAGGGAGATACTTTTGACTTGCATTGGTCCTGATTATGGCATCGCTCCTGTTATTGGTGTTCTTTATACAGTATTCATATTACATCTGTACTGTCGCGAGATGCCCATGAAAAAGACCCTAACAGCGTGTTGGGCCCTTCCTGCTGAAAAACATACAATCTAAAAAAAACCCTATATTCTCCACGAAGACGCTGATGATCAATTTAAGGTGCCTTACCAGTAATATCTGGCAATTCGCTAGCATTGATTAGAACAAATCCTGGGCTCAGATTTTTTAGCTTATTTTTGCATCAATGTTGCTGGAATTATGCACTCTCAGAAGGCCGTGGGCGTCGGATGGGTTTGTGTAAGAAATATTATTAGATTTTATTTTTGGATGGACGTACAATGCTGAGAGAGACGTCGTCCGCTTTATCCCATTGAGTTATCCACAGTGGCTCATTACTTAGAGAGCCCCCACGTGGTCACGGGGGGGGAGGAGGGAGCGCGTGGGCAAGGGGTGGGGCTGCCGTGCGCACACAGCACCCCCCCGCCCCCACTCACTCAAAATCCGCGCGCTCCCATTGGTCATCGCTCAGGATTGGCGGTCACGTGCGCACTCGCGTCCCAGCCAATGGGCTCTCGAGCACAGGGGTCACCGAGTGGTGGTGGTGGGGAGTGGGCCCTCCATCTCATGTTGCCAGATCGGAGGTTTTCCCCTCTGCGCTCACCACCACAGAAGCTGGTGGGGTAAAGTGTTAATTTTCGATTGAAAGCTTTCGTGACTGCAGGGATTCACATTCTTGGTTCCTTCGGTTATTGTTTTATTTTTATTATTTCCCTTCTACGTGACTTTACCGAAATAACTAAGAATACAAAGGTTTAATGTTAAAACGGATGAGCAATCTATTTTAGTTACTCGTCCGTCTCTCCACGTTATGACATCAATAAAAGAGGCCCTCTTTCTTACGCCCACACCACCCCACTCCTCCTCCCCGGCTCTTTCAGCAGCATTGATTCAGTGCAAGCAACACTCTTCATAGGGCCGGTCTCGGCACTGAGTGTCTCATCAGCAGTCAGCCGGGTTACTTTGAATCAATTGCTGGTGACCTGCCAGACGTCAATAGGCAACGCAACATTATGTAATTCTTAACACGCATTCATTATAATAAGCGTAGAGAATGTAAACTACAGTTTTTTTTTAACCACCAGGTTTAAGGGTCTAATTCACTTTGGGTGGAGCATGTCAATGATTGCCAAACGTGTGGTTAAACTGTGCGGCTGGGTTTACAATTACAAGTAGAAAATCACTCAACTCCACCCAAATATATTTTGCGCAATTTATTATTTAGATTCTTATTGCCCTTCAAAGATATCATTTTTCAATCGGGTGTACACTATCCCACGAGGTATGAATTACTTATCCACCCGGTGACTTTACAAACCTGTTTTACTCGAATGAACGGCACTTTATTCACCAAACAAGCGGATTTAAAAAGAAAAACCCAACTAAAACATCCAGAATGTGACAAAGGCAACACAGCCCTCTACGCCTGTTTCGCCAAGACGTGGCACACATTGCGCTCACTTATCTAGAGTACAACTAAGCTCTCCTTTTTTCCCATTCTTCTTCTTCTTCGCTAATAAAACCTTGGAAGTTTGTTTTGCTTTAGTTCCAAGGATTTAATTTTCCGAGAACTATGCCCATCAAACGTTGGAGTGGAGTGGGGCAAGTCCCCTCCCCCCACCTCCTCCCCCCCTCTCCTCCACCCCCCACCTCCCCTCCCCCCTCCTCCGCCCCCCACCTCGCCCTTCCCCACCTCTCCCCCCACCCCCCACCTCCCCTCTCCCCCCACCTCCCCTCCCCCCTCCTCCGCCCGCCACCTCGCCCCCCCCACCTCCCCCCCTCTCCCCCCACCCCCTCTCCCCTCTCCCCCCACCTCCCCTTCCCCCTCCTCCGCCCCCCACCTCTACCCCCACCCCCTCTCCCCCTCCCCCCACCTCCCCCTCGCTTGCCAATGCGCTCTGGGAAATGCAAAGGGGTTGGCGCCAGCAAGAAGCAGTCACCCCCCACGCCCATCTTTTTCGCGTCTCCTTCATCCCTTCCTCATCCCTCCTCCTTCGCTCTTCTTCTTCCTCGTATCCCCCACCCCACCACCCCATCACGCGGGCTCCCGGTCTATCTCTCTCTCAGTGTTCTTCCTAGTGGTTGCAGCAGCAGTAGCAGCAGCACGTAGAAACGATATCGGCAGGCGTAGTTAGGACATTTCGTTTTGGTTGTTCGCCTCTCGGCGTTGCGTTGCTCAGGACAGGCTGTGTCCTCGTCAACTCCACAGCACTCGCCGGACGATTAAGTTGGGTACTCGCTCGGTACATGGATGTTTGCACACGTGCAAGCCTGTAAAGATAGCTTACTCGCTGCACGTATCGTCATCACCCCCACCCACCCCAGCCGATGATTGCATCAATGCTTCAAGCGATGTACTTATTCAACGATGGCCCAAGAGTTGCTCGACACTTATCTGACAAATCCACCGCAGGACATTATTGGCTGCTGTTGCTGCTTCTTCTTCTCTCTCGCTGTCGCTACCACCACCGCCGCCGCTGCTGCTGCTGCTGGTGGAGAGACTCAAGTCTGCGAAGTGGGCAAAGCGTGATCATGTTAAAGAGGCAAGTAAGTGAGAGGGGGGTGGTGGTGGTGGTAGGGGGTGGTGGTAGTGACGGGGGGTGGTGGTAGGGGTGGTAACACCCCTCTGGGCAGCCCGCTGAGAGAGGAGAGGTCACGGCAAAGACAAAGAGGAATGGCGTCCGGCAAGCTGAGCCGCCACCACCACCACCACCCCACCACTAACCCCGGCCGGCGACGAGACGGAGAGCAGCAAGGACATCTCGACATCACGTACTCCAACACCACCACCAGCACCACCACGCCACCATTCACCAACACTTTGACCACTCGCGATCTCCATCGTCCCCGCCGCAGTCGGTGACTTCACATTCTCGTGTGTGTCCCTCCCACGCACTTTGCTCGTCCCGCTCGTTCCGTCATTGCCATCCGCCACACGATTTGCCACTCGCTACACTATTTGCGATGCGATCGCAATCCGGCACCGTTATTAACACGTGTGTGTGTGTGTGTCCACGTTGCTAACACTCGCCCACCTTCACCCAGCACACTCACGAACCAGCCCAAACAACGAAGCCAAAAGCTACGTTCATGCCACACCACATAACCTTCATCTCAACCACTCATCATCAACATTATCCACTGTCCAGACATCCTCGACGTTCCCCTTCACCACCACCACGACCACCACCATCATCATCATCTCCTTGGTGGCCACACACCGACCACATGGATGGGACACGCCGATGTATCCTGTCAATGTGAAGAGGGGCTACTTTGTGGTTGGCGGTGTTGGTTGTTGCTGCCCTCTGACCGTCGTGGTGAGTTGCGTTGAGTTGACGAATTGTTTATTGTTGTTTGTTGCTCTGTCGTCATGTACCCTTGAACTTCTTTCGTGCCGTACGTAATCCACCCGTGCTAATCGGAGGCTCTCTTCCTCGTGTGTTTTAGAGAAGTTGGTCGTCGTGCTTGGGATTGCGACTTGCGAGGCTTGTGTCACCGATGTTGTTGTTTCTGCTGCTACTTCGTGTCCCATGTTCTGTTGCATTTACTGAATTGTTTATTTGTTGTGCCATGGGTATTGTGGTGGGTTGTTTGCGACTGCTGTTGTGATTATGATAGTTTGTAAGCAAGCAAGCAAGTCATAGCATTTGTTATTGCGTACTCTTGTGAGTTAAGTCCATCAGGAAATGCGTATTGATCACACATTGAAGTAAGACTCTGGAACAACACAAGTTGTGTTGTGTGACTGCTGATGAACAGCGATTGCATCGAGTCCCGGTGATTTTGTGGCTGCTGTATGGCAGGAATTGCGTTGAGAGAGAGTCGTACGATAGAGATGATGTCAAATGTTCTCCTGTTCAAGATGCCTGTCGTTACCTTGACTGCTGCGTTGGGAGAGCTTCGTGCCCTCGTTGTGTGTTAGGTCCAGGTGGACCGCGGATGTCATGGCAGAAATTTCGTGGTCACATCGTGTTATTTGTTATTGTATTGACTTGTGTTGTGGTATTAATGGTGACCCGTGTGGTGGGTGAGTGGGTTGTGCGCTTCTGTGCTAGTGATTGTGTAGAGTCTTGTTTTGTTTCTACTTCTGACGGCGATTGTCTTGGCTTCTTTGTTGTGTTTGTTCGAGTGTTAAGCGTTGTGTCGATGTGACGATAGCTATTGCGTTGAGCACAGAAGTGTGTAACCCATTGAGGATTGTAACGAGTGTTATATGCTGTCAATCAAGACTTAAGAACCGGGGCCCCCCTTCACCTCCGGGTTACTAAAACCACGTAAGAGATGTCCCATATCCACGCTTTCTGGCCAACGAGGTGTTAGCGAGGCTTCTGTTGTACGTTGTGTCAACTTGTGTCGTCTCTTTACGTAACTTTTAGTCGCCGAAACGTGGCGCTGACGTTCGCCTGCACGGTGTCCATGCCGCATGCTCCGTCCTTTTCGCAAAAGCTTCGTGCCCTGCGGGTTGAGAGAATCCAGAGTTGTGTGTGTGTGTCGAGTGTTAAATGTCGTGTTGTGACTTGTTTAGTGCTCCAATGCCCTTGTAACTCAGTTTTATTAAATATTGTATTGTAATGTTAACGTTATTTTGACGTTGACTCTTTTCGGTGTTTCCACATTCATATGACGGGGACCAGGCTATCCTTAACACGACAACCAAACATCAGTTTACTCCGCCAATATCTTAATAGTTATCGATATATACAGTTACACATAGGGTATTATAACTTCCAAAAGCAAAGACAAGTTTTCCCGTAAAACGAGCCTTGGGGTTGGTGCTCATAATACATTTAATCGGATCGACTGGTGAAAATTCCACATTCCTTACATTACAAGAAAGTAAGTGTTGTACTCTATTGTCTGTTTAAAAATATATATGAATTAAATTTCGGCACGGATAAACGCCCTTCCCGAGCCCTGTAAGTCATCAAACCCCCCTCTTTCCCGCCAACTCTGAGTCGTGCCGCGCCCCTGATTTGCGGCCTTCCCTGCCCTGCGGGGAAATCCGCCACGCCTTGGGTAGGGAGTCTAGGCAAGGGCGGTGTGCAGGCTGGAGACCGAGGCCCACGAAGCCGAGCTTTTGGCACGATCTCGACTCACGGGTGACTTGAGAGAGTGACCGAGTCACTGACCGAGTTTGTCAATGACCGAGTTGGTTAATGATGAGGGAATTCACTTACTAGAGGGAAACTTGTACGGGGGACGCCCTTTGTGTGGGGCCCTGGGCTTGTGACCTCTGTGCGCAACCTTGGGCAATTTCAATTCATTTGTCTCGATTGTGTTTTTTTATTATCGTCTACCGTGATAAACAATGCGCAATGGCATGCATAGCGTTAATGTGTTCTTGTGTTTAACCTCGTAACGTATTAATTGCTGCCGCCTGAATGACCTCGGCACTGGGTCCGCTTGCAGGTAGAATTTTTTTTTACTTTTTGAGTTTTAACCTTGGCGCTTTAACTTTTTATTTTATTTAAATACTCCACTGGCAACAACACTACTCTATAATAATTATAATAGTTGCCAATGTTCATTATCCCACGGCCGGCTAAAACAGCTGTCACATTGCCTTGCCCTTGGGTTTTGGCAATTCCCATGACTAAGAATACAGTACAGCATAAAGCGTTGAGTGTAATTAACGCTTTTGTTAATCCGCAAATGCCTCTGAACATTCACGTTTCGCCCACTATTTGTGTATTTGTTGTTACACATAACTAGCGCAGTCTCGGACACGTCTGGCAACATCACAGGTTGACGTTTAAAAATCATCCTAATTTTACGGTAATGCAATTACTGTACCGTACTTACAGGGTGTACAATTTCAAAGGCACGTTTACATAGTTTAATGAAAATATTAACCGTATTTATGGAATAAGTCAATGGGTTGACACGGCCACAAACTTAATGCACCATCGTCCCAGCGTGGACTTATATACAATACTGTACTATTGATATTTACTGTATTGTATAATTGCAGCAACGGCTTGCAGTTTTCCAGAGTTAAGAGAGACGATCACAACATTTATGTATTAACTACATCCCTATGGGTTGAATACTATGCCCAAGTAAAAAGCCACTTCGTTATTATACCAATGTTTACGCGATCTAACCCAAATAAAAACAAACCTCTGTTTATCCACATTTAAAATGTGTGAAATCTACACGACTAGTACAGTACGTCCAACATTGTGGAACTGCTCCACAACTACCGTGGCTTTGTCTTTATGTGCAGGAGAAGACGCTGTCGTTATGCATGGTGCATCCTGTACAAGTTGGGTCACAACGGTGGTGATGATGGTGGGTGAGTATGAAGTAGAAGTGGTGCTGGGTTTCTTATCCCAGCTAATTATAAGTTTGAATATTCACTGAATTGTGACGTTAAGTAGCCGTGCATTGATGGTGTGTCTCTAGGCGTGATGTGGATGTTCAACTTTGACATTGAATGTGTGCTCCAGTAATTAAACGCCACAACGTTGAGTCGGTGTGTTAGGTCCCTGGGTTTCCAAATAACTTGTTTTGCTTGAATAAGTGCTGCGTGTTGGTAAACATATTTGGAAATATGTATTACTATAGTAATAGCTGACCTCATTGAATATATCCCATTTAATACCAGGATAAGTATGTATACAGTACCTTATTTTTTTAAACCTAATGCATTTAGAATACAGTACTGTACAGTAGACTACATGTTTGGTAGCAGAGGGCAGTGGTGCAAATTCCATTGTTGCAATGTGTTCCTATGCTCCCACATCTATGCTACCCATGTGAACTGGCCTGCACAGACGAGCTTGGTTAACTACGGTCAAATAACCTGCATGGTGGGGGAGGCCCTCATTCAGCAGTGGATATATAGAGGGCTGCACATGTGCAGTAGAGAATGAGAAATTAAGTTGTGTTTATATAGGGTGGTGCAAAAGTCAGGACACACAGGGTTCTTTCATTTATTTTAACGCTGGCATTAAATCATTTTAATTGTTTGTTCTTTAAATTAATATTTGATCTGTTATTGTTAATATCTATTTTTATTCTTCATGTGGGGGTCACCTCAAAGCCGTTGTTGACACAATTCTACCAAGAACCCTGAATAAATGGAGACGAAACATAATGATGAATGTTCTAATATTTCACCTGTAAACTTAAAAAAATCATAAATTTAAAAAAAGAATGAATGCATGCGTTAATGTATGTCGTTTTGAACATTTGTTAAAATTAACGAAAGAACCTTATGTGATTGGCTAAAATAAATATAACCGGACGTGTCCTAAATTTTGGGCCACCCTATATTAGTGAACATTTCTCCTGCCTCAATTTGATAGCAGTTTATGACCCATGTGTTTTGCAACAACTTTAAAAACGTGTAATGTCGACAGTGTTGTTGGAATTTGTTGAGGACACGTGGGTTTTACAGTGTTTGACAAATTCAACGTCTGTTTATATGCAACTCGTAGAGAAAGATACAAACGTTATATGTATGTTTCATCACCCAAATGTAATGTTTAGGTCTATGAACAAATTAGGTTGGTTTTAAAGGAAGACTAAACCCAAAAACATAATACTTAAGCTGTGCTTTGACAGCTTTCCAATTGACTTGATTTTCATTGTTGAACAAAAGAAGTTAAATATTTGATTAATGAAGAAACCCAACTGGCATCACTGACTAATCCAATTCATTGTAAGTGTTAATTCTCTGGTGTAAATACACGATAGCACTGAAGAAGAACCTGATCATACTTTTTAATGTTTTTTGTCTGATCTACAAAGGGTCAAACTCATGTCAAACAGCCTGGTACACATCCTAGATCGGCTGTTCATAAGATGTTATCTTTGTTTAAACAACTTTGGCTTTATCTTCTGGCGTTATCTTCATTTAAACAATCTCGAACCAGTTTTCACTTCTCTGTCGTAAATGGTACTGCTGAAATGTTCATACAGTTACAGTAGTTATTGAACACTGTCTTGTACAATGTATAGTTATTCAATACGTTCTCTGTAATTAAAAAAAAATTCTGCCTTGCCCTTTGCTATTTCATTGGTTTGATTAGGCCACAGGTTTCTTGTCGAGTGTGAGTGAGCTGTTTTATTTAAGCTCGAAGAGTGGTTTTGAGGTAGATTCTTTTGGCGTATCTTAGTCCATACTTCAGTGTATTAATGGTATATAAAAAAGACACTTAAAATGTACAATTCTTCTAAAACATGGAAGAAACATAGTTTATATAAATTGAGTTTTTAGAATGAGTTGTGCCACATGTAAAGATTGCAATTAAGCTAGTCGGAAAAATATCTGCTTACAGAAATAATTAATTAGCCCAAAAAACTTGTATTTGTAGCGTCTTGTTGGGACCAACATGAATGCACTATTTTGATAATGAGAAAAATGCTTAAAAGTATTTAGAAGGTGGGCTCTAGTGAAGTTACTGCGGTATGTCTGCTGTAATTTTAAATACTCCAGAGTGCTCTGAAAGTCACTTGTGTCTGTTTTCTCATTAACTCCTGTTGGGCAGCCAGTTACAGCCGAGATGTGCAGCTAAAAGATAGGCGATATTTGTTTTGTGGGCTGCCTCTTTAACCTCAGAAATGAAATCTTTAAAACAAATATTTACACAGAAAACCTACACCTGAGTGTTTTAAGACTTTCAGAAGACTCTTTTTTGGGATGTTAGGCAAACATTGAAAATGTGAAGGCTGGTGTTAATGAAAAGTTGCAATGCAGTTCAATTTCGCTTGCAGCGAAGTGTGCTTAATGTAGCGTCAGGATGGCAAGATCCTGGGGGAGTGACTTAACAGCTGTGTTTTGCATTTTTTAAATTCTTCACGAGACAGATTGCCCTCTGGGGCTAAAGATCTGTCTGTAATCAGTAGGTATTTTTTTGCTGGAGACACAATCAGGGAATCTTTGTGCCAACATGTGTGCTTCAAAGCTCTCACTTTATTTTTTAGAAAAAAAGTCAACATCAGCTAGTTTTGTGAATTGGAGAAGGAATTGCTATTGTTACATGTGTTGTAGAGCAGTTAAAACAGAACTGCGGCAACTGATATGTCTAAAAAAACGTTGGTTATACAGCAGATGGGTGACCTAATGGTAAGTGGTATCAGCACTGTCAATTTGCTTGATTCTTGTCACAAAGTTGATTTTCAGGATTTGTCTAAGTCCTCTGCTGCATTGTGGACGTTATAAAAATAATTTTCCATCATAATTTCCTTCCTGTATCATAGTCAAACTTATTTTCTTCATATGTAACATAACTCTTGTAAAACAAACTAACTGCAATTTCTCCTCAAGTAATGGTCACTCTCGTCTCCTGATAAAGAGAATGAAACTCAGTGGCGTGATACAGTTCTCCCAAATTTGGGACGTTGAATCAGATTGGTCGTGGAACATATATTTTGTTTCCTATTTATATGTTTATTTATGAAGTGCTCATTTTAGGCTGGCATGGGAAGAGAGGAGACAATGTTCCCATGGCCACGAGGCATCACTGAAAAGTTTGTGTCTCATGTCTGAGGAGGAGAGGCCGCTGGCAGGGATGGTGTGCGAGCTTCTGTGTGGAGAGCGGGTGTCCAGCTTGCCTTGGCGGGGCGAGCAACTGTAAACATCCTCGACTGAAAGCTGTGCTCCGCTGCTGTGAAAGGGCTTTCAGTCAGATGTTTGCGTTTGCCGCGTGTCAAAAATCGTCTCATCGGTGACCACCCTTGCGCTGCGTTTAATTGCTGTCTCGTCTTCTGCCGATGGCGAGATGTGGGATGATCGAACGTACAGTCATAACGAAAAACATTGCTTCCTGGTAGAGGGGAAAACATATACTGATGTTCCGTTTTCATTCTCTGTCCTCCTTGTCCATTGCATACATTTCCTGTTGATGCCATCTATTGATGGTATCTGCTGCTGACGGATTTAAAGCAAGCATCTCAGATTGCATGCTTGCAATGCAACACCATGCCATGCTTGGCTGGAGTTATTTGTGGTGTACTCTGTGTTCCGGCCTTTCAGTATACAGTTGCCGCTTTCTCGAGGAATAGTGTGTCCTCTGTGGCCTGTACTTTTTAAAAGTATGCTTACTGATGTGGGGGTACATTTTTCTGGGCAAACTAACTTGTGTTATCGTGTATGTTGTGTTTAGAAACTAATTTCCGTCTCCATGTTTACTTAGTGTTTTTTTTTTTTAAGAATGTATGTTGGAACATTCAACGCAAGTGACCACTCCTACAATCTGTTATCCTTGGAAATTATCCACTTAATGTTGGTGTATTTGCAATTTTAGTCCCTTCAAGAAATGTAACTTTCACTGGGAGCGTAGCTTTCACTTGCATGCTATCTCTGCGTGTTCTAACCGAAATGAAATGCCTTGGGGATACCCATATAGCAGCACATGTTCAACTTTGGCATGAAGGCATTGCGTAACGTTGAGTAATGTTACATGATGTTACCCAGTAAGTCGAAGAGCAGCGCCATGACAGTTAATTATGTTGTGTTTGCAATGCCAACACAACATTCCTGAGGCCTTGCTGGGAGGGACTGGCATCTCTGTTAACAATTTTACATTTCTAAGTACTAAGTTTATATAAACAGACCTCCAGTGTTAAAATTTACGTGGGAAAGGCGTGCACTCAATGTTCAATCAGCTTCCATACCGTGCAAGTTTGTGTTAGTGTCTTGTCTTGTGTGTTCAGAAAAATAAGTTTTAGTTTAGGTTAGCGTATTTCAGTTTTGCTATCACAGTGATTACATTAGAGAGTGCATCAAGTTTCTACAAGTTAAATGTAAGCTACTATATATATGGAGGTTGCTTCCCCCTCGCTTACAGGGTGCTTGTGTTATAGCATTTTGTTGTTGGAGTTTGACTGGAACGCAAAGATCAGCCAAACACACAAAGCTCGAGCTCCTACAGATTCAGGGCCACCTTCCAACATACATTTAAGCCAAACATTCACACTGCTCAGATGGCTTTATTTTAATAAGGTGGGCAAGCCTGCTAAAGTTGGCGTGCTAAAGTAGTACCAGCTTGGCACCGAGCACAACAAAGATAATGTTGGATAAACTTAACCATGGTTTCCTATTGTCTTTACTGCAAATATGTAAAAAAATGCAAATATTGCTTGGAAGTACTGTCGTTCAGTTGGCAAAGCAGAAAGGCTGTCAGGATTGAATCAACCTCATCATCATTATTCCCCTGGGTTTGGTAAAAATGTTAAGGCTGCACCATTTGGTAAAATAAAAATAAGTGATTTTTCCTTCGGAAAGTCTGGTCCCCACCTGAAAATTGTAGAATTGTATTGCTTATGGACTGCTGGTGCAGATTGGCG